TAGAGTTAGCAACAATTTAAGAGCGGCTAAGCCTAATTCTTTGTTACCATAGCAGCCATATTTGTTTACAATTGAAACTTCACAGAATACTGAATCAATTCTTTCGGCACATTCAGTGTCTTTTTGCCGAGTGGGACCAAAAGGAAATTTTATGCACCGAAAAACCTACCTTTTTGCCTGCCGGCCTTGTTTTTGTGTAAAAACTGTAATTTTAATTGTAAAAACTGTTTTTTTTTTAAATTTTTTTAACTGTTATTTTTAATGTTTTTTTATATGTTTCAATTTTTAAAATGAAGATGTTTGGGGTTTTGATATATTTTTGTCTTGCCGCGAAGTGAGAACTGAATAACTGAATGAGAAATATACCTCTAATAATATTCGAAGATATAAGTTTAAATGAAATGCCGGAAAAATGTGTATAATTTAATATTCCGTTCAAGGAAGTCATGTGGTGTACACGTCAGATTTTCTTATGTACGTTTTTAGAAATACGTAGTAAAATTTCTCTTTAAATCCTTTCAAATTGTGCATTTGGCCCAGATGCAATTTGAGTTTCAAATCAGCCTTACCACTCTCAAATACTTGCATATTCAGGTAAAATAGAAGTATGCAGCAAAGTGCCTTGCATTTAATCATAGTAATTCCATATTGATTTGTACTGGAGTGATTAACATACACATTTTATACGTACACTATTGTATTGTTTACAACACGTACACTGTGCACTATTGTATTATTTACAACTGCAAAATGACATGAAATAAGGTCCCTGGAAATGGTAATCATAACTGGGTTCTCATTAACTGAATGACTCAGTCAGCCTTTTTATATTGATTGACTGTGGATGTCGTGCACGTCATACACATGATCCCAGAGGCAATCTAACAAAGTTTTATCATACGCTTGGAAAATTCGTATTTTTTCCGGTAAAAATATTGCTTAATGTTTATTTTCACTCTTTTAAAATAATTTTTATTTCAAACACACTCATGTCCATAAATTAAGGATAATTCGGAGTCACGCGGAAATCGAACTCTAAAATAAATACATCACCTGTAAAATCGCTACACACATCTTCAAGAATCATATGCAAATTTCAGGAAGTAACCAGATGACACCGATGGTACGTCACAATGACGAGAGTGTAAGAGAGTGATATATAAGGAATACAGGCAAAGAAATAAAATTGTTCGCAGGCGCTTCATAAGCATTTCAGTACAATAAACGAATAGTTATGACACATAGGACGCATTTGGATGATTTTTTACGTGGTAGAATTATCGGCCGTCTGTAATGTGGGCGTACCCAACTGGAAGTATCAGATGAACTTGGAATTGCCCATTGGAGTGTCATCTCCAGGCATTGGCAACGATTCCAAGATGATGGTAATGTGAGTAGACGTTACAGCACAGGTCGCCCCAGAGTTACAACGTCGAATGAGGGCCGGTATTTGGCAGTTACTGCCAAAAGAAACAGGCCGAGCACAGCCTCAGATCTGTCTCGTCAGTTCTCTTCAGCCACTGGTACGACGATTTCAAGGCAGACCGTGTACAGACGCTTAGGGCAGATTGGTCTATATGCTCGTAGACCTGTCAGATGCGTTCTACTTACTGCAACTCACTGTCGGGTTAGCCTGGAGAAAAGAGCATGCATTGTGGACACCGCAACAGTGGGCTTGTGTGTTGTATTCCGACCAGTCCAGGTTTAGCTTGCAGTCTGATTCTCGGACTTTCATATGGAGAGCTCCAGGTACCCGTTACCACCAAGAAAACACCACTGAACGACACCATTACGGTAGTGCAGGAGTGCTCGTTTGGGGTGGAATTATTCTGGGTTCCAGAACTGACCTGCATGTTCAATTTGGAACCATGACAAGCCAAATCTATCGGGACGTCATTATGGAGCAACATGTACGTTTGTTTCGGGGCGCCATGGGCGCACAATTTGTGTTTATGGATGACAACGTCCATCCTCACGTGCAAACATCGTAAGCGAATGCCTTCAATCGGATGATATCACCCGTATGGACTGGCCAGCATTGTTACCGGACTTGAATCCAGTAGAGCACGTGTGGGACATGCTTGGCTGACGAGTTGCAGCCCGTCAACCTCCTCCTATATGTCTACCGGAACTTCGGAGAGCATTGCTTTTCGAGTGGTGTAAAATCCCCCAAGATGAGATCGATAACTTGATACTCAGCATGCCTAGGCGTTGTACGGACTGTATTGCATCGTCTGAGAGACATACAATGTATTAACAATCATACCAACCATGTAATTTTTTTTTTGTGTGTGTGTGTAAATAGGGTGGTTTTTTTTTTTTTTTTTTTTTTTTTTTTTGTGTGTGTGGTGTGTGTGTGTGTGTGTAAATAGGGTGTTTTTTTTTGTTTTTTTTAATTTGCTCTAGGTAGAAAAAATCGCTATTTTTTTTAATAATATCAAACATATAGCATCTTTTTTTGCTCTTTACCTTTTGTTTGATAAATAAGATTTACAAATAAGTCAAATTTTTTTTGCTTCTAACTCTTCCTTTGCCTGATTTTGCATTATCCTTAATTTATGGACATGAGTGTACTTTAAAATGTACCCATTTCCACCTTACCGCGCAGTTCAGATTCAAACGGTGTGAAAAGTCAGCCTTTAAAACAAGCTTAAGACGTGACAGTTTAAAAAATAAGTATGATTACCTCCGAGTCATACCGTTTTTTCCCCTAGCTGTTTGGCGCGAGGTTCTGAAACCTTTAAAAATATTCGTGTAATTCTTCCCTCTCTCATTGCATGCAGAGAATCAGTTCCCTTAAATTTTAAAATTGATTCGTCTAAGTGGTGATAATTTTCAACTTCCTAACAAAGGAAAACTTTCGAAAACTACCTGCAAAGGTCACGCCGATGCTTTCCATTCTAACTGTTCAAATTTATGCCAGTCTGATTCAAGAACCGATCCATCACGATAAAGCAAACATGAATTGACATTAAGTCTACGATTTACCCAACTCGACTGCCCATTCTCCTTCTCTAGTTATTTAGTTATTTATGAAGGATTTGAGGCTTAAGAAGAAGCAGAGACAACAATTAGAAGGGGCGAAATTTCAATTACAGGGAAACAGAAAGGAGAATATCTTATTAAATACCGTAAATGTTAATATTAGTTTATATTCTTATTGGAATGAAGGTTCCTATTAAAGAATTGTATTGGAATAATTATTGTTTAGTATTTTTTGTTACCAAACGAATTACTAGTGTGTCTTTGCAACAATAGATGGCGTTGCTGCCTGATGATTCAATTCTGATTGCTATGGTAACGAACTTTCAACTCATAACTTATGTGATTTGTATTCTATTCCTTTTCGAATTTTTTTTTTTTTTTTTTTTTTTTTTTTAATTGCTACAGTGCTAAGAGTGAAGTGTGCTGTGTCGTCACGTAGACGGCATTCCTTCTATTTGAAAGTGTTATGTAAAATAAATACAGTAAGACCCCGCTTAACGCGGGGGATACGTTCTAGCAAAGTAGAGCGTAATACGAAACAGCGCTAAACGAGGCTATCTTAACATGTAAATAATGGGGTTAGGGGAAGATGGATAGAAAATTGGTTTAGGTATTAAATTTAATAATGTTTTTTTTAATAAAAATAAAACCAAACATTTATTTCTTACAAAATAAAAACAATATAAACGAATATACTTATAAAAAACAAATACAATTCTCAGTCAGTCAGATCATTCAGTCTATTCTGTGTTTCCAATTTTCTGCTTTTTTGTCAAGAACGCATCTAATGAAGTTGCCAAATTCAATGCAGCACTGATTTGAGATTGACGTTCACCAGAATCTAATCTTCTAATCACCTGCATTTTAGTTTCCAGTGAAATGCTTTTTCTGGTTGCTTTCTTTTCTTGTTTTTTATTATCACCCATGATAAAAACTAAAGATCATAATATTTGTCACTGTATTAATCGTTATAGTATTATGTAAATTTATACTTACAATAATGTCAACAAATGTTTCAAATGATAAAAATGCTTCCGTACAGCACCTCACCGCACCAAACAAGAAACACAACTACAAAGTTTCGGATATGTTATTTGGAAACCTACCGTTGCGCACAATTTCAGAAAATCCCCGGGTTGAAATAAAAGAGCGCTAAACCGAAACAGCGCTAAACGAAACAGCGTTAAGCGGGGTCTTACTGTAAGTGATTTACAGTCCGCTTACCTTTGTTTTTGTGAACTTATTCTTAACATTCTTGGTCCGTGCGACCGAAGAGAAGAGTTAGCGAGCTTTGGATATGATGTGATTTATTCAAATATTAGCAAGTTAAATCACTTTCGATTTGTGGATTAATAATCAACTTAGTGTACTTTCGATTCGATTTGTGGGTTATGCGTGTGGCATCTGTGGTGAAATCAATTTCGATTTGTGGAATATTCCCGTGGCATGGTGTAGCATAGAAACCTCACCATTGGGGTGAGTACGTTCCAATATTTCATCTTCTTTTGCTAGCGTTGTTAGTATAATATTTATTGTTATTCATAATGGCTGATTTGAAACCAGTTTTAACTAAAAGAAGGTTCTAAAAAGCAATAGAACAACGTTTAAAGGCAAGGTAAATTCGAATTTAGAACAAGCAGAAATTTTAGAGGTAAAGTTGTTCGAAACGAAACTAAATGCTTTTAACAGTGAGCTTCGTTCTATTTATGAGGAAATATTTTTGTTGTGTCCTGAAAAAGATTGTGATACAATTATCTTTAGCCTGTTCGTGACTACTTTTAATCTATTATATTCTAACTGCAACTGCGTTCTTCAGAAATAAAAATGTGCAGATTCCCCCCCCCTCAAATTTCGAACGATAAAATTAGTAAAAAAAGGGGGAAGGATACGCGATGATATATGGCCTTAATTATTGTATGGAATTGTAATTAAATTTTTTCATACGTAACAGAACTAACATAAAATAGAATACTTTACTGTATTCATGCTAATTCTCTTCCTTTTATATTTTACAGGATTTTGAGAAAATGGCAGCTCAGTACATCAGCCAACATTCGTAATATCATTCAACTTGATATAAATATACTTCAGCCATGAAAAAAATTAATCTTAAAGTAACATTATTAGACGCAAAGAAAATGGTTACGTCATGAATGCATCATAACACTTGACTTTTCTACATCCGACAAGTCCTGAGACATCGTTATGAAAGAGACTACCGTAATGTGAATAAAATTTTGCCAGAAGAAACTGGTGCAGAATCTTAAACTGAGCACAGAGCAACAATTTCCCATATGCAGTTTAAATTCTGTAATTTATAGTTTGGAATTCGATAAACGCTTATCACACGTGTAGCTATTTGGAACAACCAATTTTTTAGAGCAACTTTTACACCGACTTTTTCATTGAAACAAATTCTTGCATATCCCCCCTGCCTTGCGAACGCGTTTGCTATTTTTCAATCAATTAGTTATCAATATATAAGATTACTGATGTGTGTTAGAAACTTATATACTAGTAAATTTACATACATTCTGCATTATTCTTCATATTGGCTTAATTCCAAATACTAGTCAAACCCTCCAGCTCGCCAGACAAATTTCTGACTCTTTTTTGACTAACAAAATCAGAACACTATTATCATTTACGTGTTCCGCCCTAAAGTACTTCACGGAAAGGAGAGATGCCTTCGTGGATGACTTTCTAAGGGAAGCTGACTCGTATTAACACGTTACACATGGGGAAAACCACGAAAACGCCTATGCAGCCAGCCCGTCCGCGGGATTTGAACCTCGTACCTAACTACCAGTGTTCAGGGGTTTTACCGCTCGGCTGCTCGTGGAACAATTAGAACACTACAGCTACATATAGAAATGGGTGAGACACTGGTCGTACAGCCAAAGCTCCACCGCTTTTTTCAGTTCAGTTCTGCACCAGAACACTCGAGGAAGGGGATGAGTTCAATTCTGCACTACTTGACTACTTGACTACTTGACTACAGAAAAGGAAGATATGACACACCAGAAATTTAACACTAGTTGCACAAGTACTCTCCAACCACACCATCTGTGCAACTCCACCCCAGTTTTGATGGAAAAAGCCACATGCCTTCCTCCTCTATCATCAATCCACACGAAATTACTTTTGATTCGCCAGTATTTTAAATGCCTCCTTACCACACAGACACTGTACATTTACAAACAACCGTGCCTTTTCCGTGACTAACGCTACACTGACCGCTACACCAATCAGCGTGAGACTAGAGGAATACAGTTAGAAGTGGGCGGAACACCAAAATTGGACCACTGGTCGTACAGGTATACTCTCACTGCAATAACTGGGAATCTGCGCTTTAATTTCGGTGATGAAAATCACAAAGAGAGCATCCCAAGAATCTCCCGCTCTTCTTTCCCAACCATCAAACCAATAGAAAATACGGATGGAAAAATCCGCTCTTTTATGGCATCGAATCAGAACTGTCTCTCACTGAAATATATCATCTCTTTTTTATGACTTGCCACTCATTAGAAATAACCTTAGTGAAAAAGATCCGGAACGAGCGGTGAACAAAGAGCGGTTATCAAGGATGGAGCGAAGAGTGGAAAGAATCGAAAGAGCAGTGGGATCGGAGCCGATTAGCGAAGTTGGAACCAGAATGAAAACGAATCGAATCAGGAGTGGGATCGGAAGAATATATTTAAAGCTAACTACCTGAACTGATTTCTTTCTAGTTTTCAGATTCCGTAAAACTTCCTTTTTGCACAGAACTAACAATAAAATTCTATATTAAAAAAATTTCTAAGAAGTTGGGAAATGATAAAAATTAAACTCACTTTTTAACATGGTAGGATAAACATTCTTTTCTTCCCTGAAATGAGAATCGAACTTTTCTGGCATGCTTCCAGCTTCCTTCTATTTCTTTTCCTAGAATCTGAAGTTCGCTCGCTCTGTAAAGCGAATAAGCTCATTAAAGAACAGCAGGTCTTTATTCCTGGCATGCTTCAAATTAAATTTCTCAGCGATATGTAAAAGAGCTCGTTACTTAAAATAAAACTTACAAAATACAGTAACTGCCATTATTATAGCTTCTTGGAAAAAAAAAAAAAAGGTAATTACAACAATTAAAATTCGTGTTTCTATAGAAATTTAAAAATGGTTGATTGTTTTTCCACCACTCGAAAATTCAGGACAAGTTGCGCCATATTGTTTATGCCCAAAATATCTTCCTATGTGACTTTTATAGTCTTTTTCTGTGACGCTTTAGAAATTATTACTTTGTATTTTAGCATTTTGTTACTTTTGTGTCATAATTACATCTTTATATATTGTTGATTTTAAAATGTAAAAATAAAATGTTATTGCTTTTGAATATAGTCTTTATCAGTAATAATCAGAGTTATATTTCTGGTTTCATTTTTATTTATTTATTTATTTTTGTTTTTGTTTTGTTTTGGCTTCGTCAAGAATTAAATGATTGAGATTTTTTTTAAATTACGATACATTTTCATTAAAATTTCTCATTTGCCTTTTAAGCTTCAAAATTTAGTTAGAATTTCACAATATGAGATTATATTCAACAACGTTCCGATTAAAAGTTCATTTAAAAAATTTTTGGAGATATCGGTTTTGCTATTATACCAAAAATCAGCATAATTAACATAAATTTGCAGGACTAGTTTCGAAGGTTTAAATACAGAACCTCCTACATCAGTTGCAGAAGTGCAAATGATGAAAATTGACAACGCCAATATTTACCCCACTAGCTTTTAACTTAACACTACTAGCCCATAGCAAAATGGTATAGTCTACCTTGATCTTCATATATTAAATTACAAAATAATAATAATAATAATAATTTACGATACGCGCAGTGAATTCAAGTTTCACACTCTTAAACTGACCAGTTGGACTTCTAACATTTCAAAAAGAGTCATTAATACAATTAATTCCCAACTACTTAGAATAAAAGGAATTTGCAATAACACTGACTTTCTTCAAGATGAAATACAATATTTTATTCACATCCTCCTGGAAAATCAAATTCCCAAATTAGTAATTTCATATTCTTTAAGGAAATCTGGCCTTTACCTGATATTTTAAATTACTTGTTTTTGGTGACATGAAATTTTTTACTCAAGCCTGCAAAGGCGGTAACTAGTGGATGACAAGCACAAGTGATTTAATGTAAATATGTAATTTAAATTATCTTTTCTCTTTGAATTTCGCTTACAAAATCATAGTACTATTTTCTTAATATTATTATGATTTACCGGCCAACTTTCCTTTTAATAAATTAACGGCTTCTTTCAATTTCTTTTATACGTTTTTATAGCCCGATTGTGACGACTTTTACTAACACCCACATTTTTCATTTTCCTCTGCTCTTCGGCCAGATTTAACTTTGACATTTAGCCATTTTTTTAGTTCATTTAACAAACAAACTGTTTAAAAACGACACCATCTTTTAACTGGTTACCTCTAACTACTACCCACCAACCCCCCCCCCCATTTTGCCCCTTTCCCGGAAGCCTCCATTGGCATAGCAACAAGATAACGAAGACTTGTTTTCAAGTTTTAAAATGCCTTGCTATTCGTTGAAAATTATTGTTTCGCATTTCTGGTAGCCACTGTTAGATACATTCGAAATTTATGAACCTTTTACGTTCGGATTTTTTACAACTTAATTGAAGCTAGTGCTTGAGTCAACAGCTAGGTGTGTTTTACGGTTCTTTCTGTTTTAAACGCTTTTTCCTTTATCAGCAAAACTGGATCTTTCTTCTTCACGAGATGTTTTTCCTTTTACCTTGAAAGAAAATTCCCTGAAAATATCTACGACAAACCAAGTTTGCTTTTTTGCTTAGTTTAAAATTTTACATTGGTTACTGGAAATTTTATATTTGATACATTCGAATGAGGGCTGCCTTCTCAATATTAAGGTTAGGGATACAGCATTGGTCAAACACATTTTGGTACTTTGGGATTATCCCGTCGACCATGTTCGCCAAACCTGTTATTATGGCCAAAAGGTAACTGCTACGCCAATAACTGCAAATAACTGTGTAATCCTTGACTACACGAGTTAGTTTTCTGTAGCGTGTTGAAATAAACTGCATTTTTTTGCTCCACTGCAAAATGATTCGAATTTGGGATTTGCCTAGCATCGAAGACAGTACAGTGGCATATTTTCAAGAGTATCGAATCATTTTTTCTAAGAAAATGTGCGTTAATATCCACGATTTGGCGATGTATATTAAAACTGATAAGCAATGGCGATGCAAAGTAAAGGGGTGCGATAAACGAGTAGCTATTCGAAAAGCCACGTGGTTGGTAGGCTGGAAACTCCCGTTTCTGACTGCCGTCCGGTGTATTTACTACTGGTCGCAAGAATTTACATCAAATGAATGGGCAGAAAACAGCTGAATTTAACAGGGAAGACAATTGTTGATTGGAAACAACTGTATGAGGAAAATGTGCAGTCATAGTCTTCTTTCTACAAAGTGATTCGAAACAAATAGGTTTGGTTTGGTTTGGTTTTTACTTCCTTGTACGAAGTAAAAAGGAAGTATTGTAATCTCGAAAAGTTTCAGGCAGCATATTTCAACGAAAATATCCATTTTGACCGCATATTATCGAATGCAATTTTAACGATGTTTTTGCGTGATATCTGTACGTTAAGGAACAGAATAAATAAAAGACTCTTTTCCTCCAAAAAAAAAAAAAAATAAAACTGCTTTAAAATTAATTCTGAAGAGAATTTTTCGTGGCGTCTGTACGAACGTATGTACGTATGTGCGTACGTACGTATCTCGCATAACTCAAAAACGAGTAGCCTCAGAACGTTGAAATTTTGTATATAGGACTGCTGTAACATGTAGATGAGCACCTCGTATTTTGGTTGCAATCGGCCGCACCAAACGTATATAAATATATTTATATATATATCCACTCTGTTACCCGGCTCAGTGATCTCAGTTTTACTCGCATATGTTTGTAAATTGTAAATTTTTTGCTTTAAAAATGATTGAATTATGTTGTTTTTATCTTCCGGTTAAGGTTTTTATGCCTTTAATAAATCTGTGTGCAATATTTTTAGAATTATCAACAATTTTAAAGTTGTTTAAGTGCCGTTAAACCTTTTTTTTTTACGACGGCCATTGATTGTTTACATTTGAAACAGCAGACTAGTGGATTTGTTGCCAATCTAGAGAAACTTAGCTTCGCAACAACAAAGATAACGCCTTCATTTATTATTGCCAATTAAATCATGCTTAATCCTTTCTGGAATTTTTTCGAGGAAATAAGTGTTTAAGATTTACTTCGTAATTTTTAGTATAGATATTTTGAATTTTTATGTATTTTTGCCTTCTCGCGAATTGAGAACTGAATTAATTGAATGAGAAATACTCAATCGTCTGTGAAAAACTGTTTCTTTTTTGTTTTGTTTGCTTAATTTCTTTTATACATCATTCTAGCTTATTATATTATTTGAATAGAACATGTGGCAACGATTAGATTATTCTATTCTTTAAATGATATAAATTTTGTGCATTATGAGTTATAATATGAACGAAATATAATACTCTTAAGTGAATCTAGCGCCAGAGTGTCGCTATTGTAAACAAATACTAGAGTGAATTTTAAAGAATGCATTTATTCTATTGTGGTTTATGCGCTGTCGGCGAAGCAGATTTAATCGAATCCAATAAGTTTAAATGAAATGCAAGAAAAAATGCATATAATTTAATATTCCGGACAAGGAAGTCATGTGGTGTGCACATCAGATTTTTTTAATTATGGCAAAGCACACTAGGGCTATCTGCCTAAGGGGAGGGATACCTTCGTGGAGGACTTTCTAAGGAGAACTGGCTTCGAAACAAATAGGATGTCCGAACAAAATTGTAGAGACAGATAAGAACCTTTTCACACAGCGCAAAAACCAAGTCGGTCGTATTCTTCCATACAGAGAGACGAACGAGTGTTTCATCGTAAAGGTTCCCAATCGAAATGCATTCTAATGACTGAAATTAGGAACAACATTGCAGAAGGAACTACAATTTTCTCAAGACTCGTGGAAAAGTTCCTAAACTGATGAACTGGAAGCAGCGGGATTCCAACACTTTAAAGTGAATCACCGATATAATTTTGTGGATCCTGAAACTGATGATGCACATACACAAAATATAGAACTATTGTGGGATTTGGCAAAATGGGCGGGGGGGGGAAACAAGAAACGCCGCAGAACTACCCGAAAACACTTGATTTCGTATTTAAGTATTTAAACCAATTTATGTGGCGCGGAGACTAGAAAGAAAACAATGACTTCTTTATTTGCGCTGTAAAAGCTATCAAGGATTTTTGGTCGCCGAAATAATTTATAATAATATATATGTTAGATTCAAGGATAATTCAATGTAAAATCATAAAAAAAAGGGGTACATTTTCCATTTCGCCGGCGCATATCTCACCAAGCAGACTTTATTGGCAGTACACACATAAAAAATGTTAACAAATGTTAATTCTAAAAATTTTTATTTTGAAGGCATAAATATTTTAATATCGTTTAAAATTTTGTAAAAAGTTAATAAATGAAGACAATAAATTTATAAAAAAGACATTAATTTAAGAATTCACTATGCTTTCATAGTTCAACATCTTGATTCGCCGTTTCATATCACGTGTCCCCAAGTGATCCTCACGTAAACTACGCTACAAAAATCTAATTCTCTCAATAACTATCTACATTAAATTAAGTTAAATCTTAATTTGGAATACAAGTTTAAATGCAAAAATTATTTTCAATTCGTATGAATAGCTTACTCCATAAATTTATGTAAAACCGAAGTGCTTTACTTCGGCTAGTGCATTCTCATTTAGAATTGATGAATTTAAGACTTGACTTAACCTTTTCTATATTTTCATCTTCAGGTGAGTGGTGTGATTGCATCCTAATTGACTTAATTACCGAGAATGGCCTCTTAGGGACATAAAATTGAACTAATCGGTAAAACATTCTATGTAATTGTATGCTAGTATTAAACGAAACAATCAATCTGATAAGAAATGGCTGGGACTTGTTTTGAAAATGAAGCGTAAAAGGTTACCAACGAAGATTTTCTGTTTGGCATCAGTTGTACCATTATTGGCGACTTTGTCGCCTGCGCAGGCAAAACGGAAAAGTACAAAAAAAATTTTTTTTTTAAATTTGTTTTGATTTTTTATTACATATTTATTACGTATTATTGCACTTACATTTTTTATTATTGTTTGATAAATTTAATGTGTTTTATTTTGGAAATTGCTTTTCATTAGGATGGCACCAAAGGATTTGTGTATTTTCGCGAGCGTTTACAAGTCGACGGGATAATCCCA